AGGTTTTTAGTGCCTGGAAGAAAGAGTTCCAGGAGGCACGAGGCTGGGAGATGGGGGAGTAGGAGGCGCAGAACGGAGAATGCTCTGGGAGATCGGTTTGTTTGTACAACTGTGAGTTTACTCCTTCAGTGAACAGATGAGCGGTGTGGCTGGGGCAGCCCTGGGGCCAGGCTGCCTGGGTTCAAACTGGGGCTCTGTGCTTCGGGAAATTCTGTGACCTTCCTGCACCTGGTTTCCCTTGTTACCCACGGGGTGGACGTGAGGCTTGACCTCACATGTGATGAGCGCCCTATAAATATTATTATAAATATTATTCTTTGATAATGTATGTCTATGCCAGGAACAAATTGCTCTTTAACTGTACTCCAGCCTGTCTCCTGGGAGACTGTGGTGTGCTCCCTGGGGACAGAGACCATCTCTTATTTGTCTCTGCATCCACAGTGGCTCAGCTAAATGAATTTATTTGCTAAATGAGTGAGCCAGAAACGATGTATGACCTTCAAGAGACTGCCAGTGTAAATGTGTTGTTATGTGTCTCTCCTTCCTGCATCCCTTTGCCCAAGCTGTTCCCCTAACCCAGAATTTCAACACCCAACCTCTCCACCAACATTGGGAATGAGTGAGCCCTGTTAGTGCGCCTCTCCCACTGCACCGTGATCATCTGCGCTGTCTCCCCCTGACACTGAGCTCCTTGAGGACAGGGCTGGAGGGTTATTCCATGTTGGACCCCAGGTGCCCCCCGTAAGATGTGGCTTTTGTGAACCCCTCTGTCCAGACTGCTAAGGAGAAAACCTGGCCCCTGCCTCAGAGAGCTTACCAGTCACCAGTCCTGGGTGGACAGAGGCGTTCAGACAGACCCCGGGGCAGACCCCGAGGGTCCACTGGGTGAGGTCTGGCTTTCCGGGTTGGAGAGTTACTGCAGCAGCCCTGAGCAGATCTGGCAGGTCAGCCTCCTGGGTCCAGCTCTCCGGAGGGGGGCGGGGGGGGGCGTGGATCGTGTGACTCCCAAGCATTCCCTTTCATACTGGGCCCTGCCTGGCTCTCTGCTCAATGCACTACCAACCTGGGGATTTGCAAACTCTCTCCTTAATCTTTAAGAGGAAAGCATTGTTATAAAAAGGCAATATTAGCAGATGTACTTAAATGAAATCTTTTCCCTGAAAATAAAGAATAGGGCCATTAGTGTCTGCAGTAGAATGATTTTAAGCGTCCCCAGGGAGCCAGCAGGAAGCTGAGCACCGAGGGAAAGCATCGGTTGGGGAAAGGGTTCCACCTCCCTGTGCAAATCAGCCTCCCTAGGGCTCCCAGCTGCCCGCCCCCACCCCCGCCGAGGCTTCCACATGGCAACCGTGCATTAGGCCCTGCTTGCCCTGGGCCTGCCTCTGAACGTTGTTGTATTGCAGTGGTTGGTGTGAAGGCTGCCTCCCGAGATCCCTGATTCCTCAGGGATGAGAAATAAGCTCCTCTCAGGACTGAGTCCCATTTGCTCAGATAGTTCCTGGAGCCTTTGGGGCGTTGGGCCCAGAGTTCAGGTGCACCCCAGGTTTCCTGGAGGAAGCAGGTGTGGGGGGATGGTGAGCAGACAGGAGAAGGGACACTGTGTGAAGCCAACCTTGGAAATCAGATGGTCTCTGGTTATAGGCCTGGCTCTGCCTCTCTAGCTGTGTGACCAGGTTCAGGTGCACCCCAGGTTTCCTGTGGGGGGATGATGGGCAGACAGGAGAAGGGACACTGTGTGAAGCCAAGCTTGGGAATCAGATGGTCTCTGGTGGTAGGCCTGGCTCTGCCTCTCTAGCTGTGTGACCTTGGGCAAGTTACTTCACCTCTCTGGAACTTAGTTTCCTCAGCTGGACAGTGAGAAAACCCTTTCCTCTCTCAGAGATTGGGCATGAGGACCCAATGACATCATTTGGAAAAGGCACTGTGGGTAGAAAAGGTAACATTTCGGGGCAACGAAAAGCCTGCCTGTGGCAAGAT